ATTGCCTCCAGTAGGGTGTGGTCAGGGTGTGGTCTTCCCTTTTTAATCTTTTCTGTGGCAGCCAAACAACTCCAGTCGGGTAGAAAACAAAGCCAAACTCAAAATCAAAAACAAAAATGGGGTTTTCCAATAGTGGAAGGGAGGCTATGTGACCTCCAGGCAACACCCGTTGGGTAGCAAACAAAATCAGAAGCAAAGTAAAAAACCAAAAGCGATAATGAGATAATAATGAAGCAAGACAAAAAAAGAACAACCGCATGAAAGAAGGGACAGAAATCAAAAACAAAAGAAAGAGAAAAAGAAAAGAGAAAGGATTCAGCCCCAGAAAAAATGAGATTAAACAAGGCGGCTTCTAGTCACACATACAAACCATAGGAATGAAAAAAAAAAATAAATAAATAAATCAACAAGAATAAAGAAAAAAAAACAACAAAAAAAAGAAAACCCTTTATCAGTTTTATAAGGAGCAGCTGGTGGGGGCGGTCTACCAATCTTGTAGTTCAAAGCGCTCTGCAGTCTGGTCCCTTAACCCCAACCCACAGAGCAAAAAAGAAAGAAAGAGAGGAAAGCCTACCCATGTATCCTTTATAGGGTTTCTAAGTGGCAGCTGGTGGGCCCGAACTTCCGACCCTATAGTTCAACGGTTTCTGCAGTCTAGTCCCTTAATCTGCCGGGGAACAGCAGGATTGCCTTGTTGCTGTTGGTACAAATCTCCTCAGGGCGTCTCCCCTTGTGCCGGCTTGTGCCTTGCTGGCAGGGTTTGAGCCTTGGAGGTTAGGCAGTGGGCTAGCCTGTGTTGCTGGGTCAGGGAAGCGCCAGGCGTCCCTCCCCTCATGCTCTTTTATAGGGTTTCTGAGGAGCAGTTGGTAGGCGTGGACCCCTGACCCTGTAATTCAGGTGTCCTTGTAGTGGCACCCCAATCCTCAGGGCCACGTCGGGGTTCCTGCTGAACCTTCTAAGATAAAAGATAATAATAAAAATAAAGGGGGGACCCAAATGGGGTTCCCCAGTGGGAGCTCGCGGCTGGAGGTGGGCTGCCTGCCCCCGTGCTCTAGCGTTCTGTTGAGCGTGAGGTGAGCTGTTTGCTGGCGCACGCCCGGCAGGGCTGAGGGACGCTGCTTGGTTCAGTGGGGGGCGGGTCGCTCACTTTTGCGCGTCTGGCAGGCCCGCAGTACGCAGCTCGGGCAGGCTGGCAGCTGCTCGCCTGTCTGTGCGCGCGCCCGGCAGGCCCCGGGAACACACGGGTCAATTGGGCAGAGCAGAAATCGCTCAAGCAGGCCCAGTCGGCGCCTGATGACGTCAGACAGTCGCCACTTCTCTTTTTTCTGCAGGATTTTTTATTTTTTTTTCCTCTTCCTCTCCTAAGCTAACTTCCCTCTGTCCACTGTATGCGCAGAAATCCCCCCTTGGGGTAGGTGTCACCAGTGGATCTCCCTGTTTGAGTCTCCCAGCCACTGGAGGCTCCGCACAAGCTGGTTCCCGCCCCGCTCCCCCCAAGCCCAAAGGAGCTGGGGATGCCGCGGCGCCCTTTTAAAAAGCCTGTAATTCTTTGCTCAGTGATTTCTCAAAGGTACGGGTCTAAGGCTCTGGCGCACTAAGATTTACGCAGGCCGTGAGACTGTGAATTCCCACCTGGGAGGCTCAACTCGCGAGCTTCCCCCCACCCGATCCCGGAGCCCCCACTCACAAGCACCGTCTGGCCGCCCTGGAAAACCGGAAGTCTTGAATCTACTGATTCTTTAAGTACTGGTGACATAGCTTCCAGCAAAGCAACAAGACATAAATCACCACTCTATGAGAAACTGGTAGCATAGGAGCTCTGGTAGCGTAGTGGTTACGAATCGGGCTGCGAACCTTAAGGTCAGCCGTTTGAAACTACCAGCCGCTCCGCAGGAGAAAGATGAGGCTTTCTACTCCCGTAAAGATTTACACCCTCGGAAACCCTATACAGGGTCACTATGGGTCAGAACTGACTCGATGGCACATAACAACAACATGAGAAACTGGTAGCCACGTGGTGGTTTCAAGGAAACTCACCATAATAATGAAAGTCCCGTTAGCTCAGAAGTAGCCTGATCCTGCTAGGGATACTTTGTCAGTTTTGCTTGCTACTCTCCTTGCTGACTTTCCTTTTTATTGGTCATTTATAGTCTATCACATTAGGTCCATAAATAAAATCACACCAAAGGGCTAATAATTGAGGACCCAAAGCAAAGGCATCAGACAGGAGTAAATTACCCAATACACAAAATGAACTCATGTGAAATTGTTCACTACAGATCAGCAAGTAAGAACAAGCAAAACTGTGCTTACCTTGTTCATTGGGTAGTCTATCCTTGTCAGAGATGACAAATTTGAAAGGAGGCTTTGATTCTATAGGATCATGCTTTGGGGTTAACAAAGAGACAGACAGAGCTAGAAGGAGAATCTTTGATGTGGTGACAAAATGCAAAATGGTTCACTGAGTTCAGTAAGTAAGCATGATCAAGCCTGAGTACACTTTGCTTATTGGATAATCCAACACTGATGTCAGAGAATAGGCAATAGTTAGCTGTATGGCTACCCAGGAAGGGCGGGACAGCTTGCAACCAGTCATTCAGGCAGGGACTCAAAAACAGAAAATGAGAATATAGTCTACAAGCTTTGCAGGGCATCAAACATGCAAAAGAAAAAGCTGGAGTCACAGTAAGGAGCTGGTCTCAAAGTTAGGTGGATAAGAAAAGAGCTACCAATGGTTAGGCTGGTGCCAGTGGTGACGGATCTAGAGAGCTTCCAGATGAAAGACAAATTAAGACAAAGGAAAACTAAGGCACCAAGAAAGCAAGAAACTCCCATGCTGGAAGGTGAACTCTCTTTATGGACCCACAGAACAAGGATGCCTGATCCCAATCATCTTGGCCAAAACTCTGGAAAGGAACATACTCATCTCTGCTCATGGTGCTAATAATGAAAAATTGTTGTTCTATTTTTTTTTTTTTTAATCACAGTGGCAGACATGTATTCATTTATGGAAATTTAATAAGATATCATTCATTTGTTCCACTATTAAAAATACCACACTGAAAGAGTTTGAATAATTGAATATCTTAAAGGAAATACTATTTGCTACTTTATATCCAGATATTAGTTTGAGATTACTGCTGATAAAAAGACTTTAAGTAAAAGCCCAGTGGGCCCACTTTGAAGAGCTGGTAACACTCCTTTCTAATTAGCAGTATCTTATACTTGTATTAACACTTACACAAAAGTGATTTCTTTGAGTTGGGCACACATCTTTCAGTATTCTTTGTATTGTTATCAAAAGTCCATTTTTTTTTATAATGAAAGGAAAGTTGAATAGCAATGTCTGGTCTGCACTAATGAGATTTCACTGTATTGAGATGCCAAAGCATTTCTCAATAGAGTGCCATGTTATCCATAGAATCGCTGATCTCCGTAACATTGTAATAAGTGAAGATATGTGGTTTCAGTTGATAAATTATGCAGCTGTCTTTAAAAGTCTGTACTCCCATGCCTTCTGTCTTGGAGTCTCAGATCCTGGAAAGCAGGAAATTGTGCTTGTCTAATATCATTGTATGGCACCTGCAGTGATTCATGGGACAAAAATATTAAATAAAAGTGTCCTTGACAATGACAAATTTTTAATGGCTCACCTGACCATAGCTCCAGCTTCTAGTCTTGATGTCCTTGTAGTCTCCATGGAAAATAACCCCGATATCATTCAAGACATACTCTTCTCGTTCTTTCTCATCATCCAAATACACAGCATCCTCTGCAGCAGGATGTAAACACAGTGACCATTACCAAAGCAGATGTTTTTTTAAATCCTTGCAGGGTTGTTTTTCTTCATAACCTGCAATTTCATCAACTAAATGACAAAAAAAAAGTCTTTTGTTTCACTAGACAGAATTCATTTTTGAATATATCCTTTGTAGGATGTGAACATGATTAATCAACACCAATTGCCAGCCTGTCAATGATGTCTATGAATGATGCAAAAAGTCTGACAAACTGGACTTTTAAATTGACATGTCTCATTAAACATTTTGTGATTCTGGTGCATTAGTAGCCTCAGAATCAGAATACTCTATAATTCTATGCAAATCTATAATATAAATTAAAAAACAACAACAACAAACTAGCTGAATTGAAAATAATATTGATAATGAATCTGGGGCATACCGAAAAACATCTATTGCCATCAAGTTGACTCCGATTCATGGCAACCCCATTTGCCATGCTCCTGAAAGGCATCCTGGTAGCATATTGGGTTGTGTGTTGGGACCCTAACCATAACATCAGCTGTTCAAATTCACCAGCCACTGTTTGGAAGAAAGAAGAGACTTTCTGCTCTCATAACAATGTGCAGTTTTGGAGACCCTATACAAGGTCATTATGAGTTGGAACCAACTTGATGGCAAGCAGCAACAGCAGCTGAAGTAGTGGTCTTTTGGAAGTAGATCAAAAGACCTAGCTCTTGAGGAGTCACTGAGTGTATTGAATCTGCCAATCTTCCCATTAGCAGCCCAGTGCAAACTATCTATGGCCACCAGGAGTCTTCCTTGGAAACAACATTTATCACACTTGGTTTGTGGACCATTACAGGTAGATGGATGGAAGCTGGAGGCTGTCTTTTTTGAATGAATAATCCTTGTAGATACGTTATTGAATGTGGGTCCAGCCAAACTCCCTGGTTTGCTGCCTCTAGTTGAAAGGATTCTTCTTTATGCAGCTAGAATTTCAGAAAGGCCATACTTTCTGCCTACCTACTTAGCAATCATTCTGGCTCTTATTCCAAGACCATATGTGAGAGAAGCTAAATTATCATTGATATAGAATGGACAATAAGGTGCATCACAAGCAGGTAAGCTTGTGTGTTTGGAAGAAAGTCAAATCTCAGCTCTGATTGGGACATGGTTCATTACTTTTCTTTGGACCAGTTCCTATCAGTCACCCTTTTTAATTTATTAAGGCATTTTATTCCTCATTCCCTGATAAAGCTTGAATTGGTCTTTCAAGAGTAATGGCCCTCAACTCTGGCTGCACATTAGAGAATGTGGTGCTGTAGGATAAGCACTCGACTGCTAATCACAAAGTTGGCAGTTCAAACCTAAAAAAGCAAAGTGGTTCCTTGGAAACACTATCCAGTGTTGCTATGAGTCGGAACCGACTTGGTGGCACTTAACAGCAACAAAAACAATACTGTTAGATGCGTACAGTGCGAGTTGGAATCGCCTCTGTTGCACACAACAACAGGGTCAGATCCAGATAGCTTTTCCCCCCCTGTGTTTTAAGCTCCCAGTGACTCTTCTGTGCAGCCAAAATTGAAAAATGTTCAAGCCCCTTGCTGCTCAAAGGTGAGCAGCATTAACAATACCTGAGAACTTGCTGGAAATGCAGAATCTCAGACCCCACCTCCGACCTACTGGAGTCAGAATCTACATGCTAACAAACCCTCAGGTCGGTTCTTTGGTTGTATACAAATTCAAACTTGAGAAGCCACGTTCTGACTATATGATAATTTAGAACAAAACCTTTGTTGATTCCTCAGTCTTGCTGATCTCTAACACTTTCTTGTATCTTTCTCTTCTTTCTGTCTTTTCTTCTTGCCTACTGTATGCCTGTTTTCATGCAATTCTAAAACTATATATAGATAGATTCCAATCAACAGTGACCCTGTCTGGTATTTCTGAGGAGCAGCTAGTGAGTTTGAACCCCTGACCTTGTGGTACTGTGTTTATCCTACAGTACCACATCAGGACTCTGGAAACCCTATACAGGGTCACTATATATTGGAACCAACTGCACAGCACATGACAACAACAACTCAAGTTGGAACCGATTTGACAACACTTAACAACAACATATATGTAGATATTGTTGTTGTTAAGTGTTGTCGAGTTAGTGCCAACTCATAGTGACCCTGTAGAGGTTTTCTGAGGAGTGGCTGGTGAATTTGAACTGCTGACCTTGCCTTTCAAACTGACCTTGCAGTCCAGTGCATTATCCCACAGCGCCACACCAGGCTCCTTATATAGACATACACACATACACATATAATCTTGACATCCAATAAATTTAAAGCTTATTGTTTCACCATCTACACATAATCCCAGGGGTTTCTTGCACCTCTTCATAATGCTTTCCTCCTGACTTCTATCCCCAGGTAATCTACACTCTGTTGCTCTAGGTTAGTTTGCATTTTCCTAGAAATTAATATAAATGGGATCATGGAGTATGCATATTTTTTAGGAGGCTGCCTTCTTTTACTCGGGAGATGATGTTGAGATTCATCCTTGCTTTTGTGTCAACACTTCATTCTTCTGTCAGAAGAAACCAGAGACACCTACCTAAGTGTGTCTCAGCCTCTCTCAGCCCCTTTAAGAGTAAACACTCACCTCTGGCCTTGCCTTGCTGAGTTCTGGAGGCAGATACTCTGGTTTTAACAACAATCTCTATATAGGAGAAGAGTGACCCCCAAACTGAGACGTAAGCTTCATTTTTTAATAGTAAGCAGGTATGAATCCTGTTGTGGTGCTGTGGGTTAATGCATTGGACTGCAAAGTCATTTGAACTGCAAGATCGGCAGTTCAAACTCAACAGCTGCTCCTTGGGAATCCTATACATCAGGGTTGCTATGGGTCGTAACCAACTCAATGGCACTTAATAACAACAACAAAGCTGAAATAACAAATATAAAGTGACACCTGAATTTGAGGTCAGTAATTCTGGGCAAAAGCACAAAAGAATACTTTGATTTTAAAAAGATACTACCTCTCCATCAAATATTATCTAGACATTCTGGAAATGAAAGGCTATCTGATTTTTATTTGTTTATAACAGTGCTTTAACTGTTGTAACTTTATTGTAATACTAAACGTCTTAGCCTTATGTCCTTCAAATGCATTTTGGGGGATAGATATGTCCTCCTAAGACCACTGAAGTCTAAAAGTATCATTTAGTAATTTTTTGTAAGCACAATGTTTTTCTTACAGTATGAAATATAAGAAGGTAACAAACTTGTCCATTGTAATCTTAGAGCACAACTGCTGTTGCTGGCACTGTGAAGTGCCATTAAATTGTTTCCAATACATAGCAATTCTATACAGGGTTTCCCAGTAGTCACTGGTGGGCTTGAACCACCATCCTTGCAGTTAGCAATCCAGTGCTTATCCTACAGCACAACAGTACTCTCAAGCATTATAAAGCTACAGTAATTTAAACAACTGACTTAAAACGAGATTAATCAATCAAAAAGATAGCACAGAAATAGGTATCACTTAATGCATATATTAATTTATCTTTGATACTAACTGTAACAAAAGGGAGTATTATAAATCAAAGAGGAAAATTGGTGTATACATTAAATGCAGCTAGAAAATTGACTATTTACAAAAACAAAATTTCTGTATAAGAAAATAAACTGGAGATTAAATATAAATGATATTTGAAATCCTTTTGAATAAATGCATTAAAAATATGACAAGCTGTATGTGAATCAAGGTGAAGATTTAAAAGTAGAATTCAAAATCATGTTAAAAAATTGCATATAAAATAGGTACCAGTTATGTAAAGACTACTTATAAAAAGACCTTGGAATAATTTGGCCAAGATGACTGACTGAAGCATTCCTCTATCTGCAATACAACTGCAGGTTCCTTGAAATGATTGAATATATTATAAAACATCCTCAACATCTGCAAAATAAAGAAAATCTGGAAATGAGAAAAAAAAAAGCTAGGAAAGTATGTAAAGGAATAAAGCAAGAAACACAGATGCAGAAAGTCAAATATCTACCTAAAAGGTATTTTACAACAAGAAAATATATAAAAAGAGAATTCAATTAAAGAACACAATCAGATTTCCAGATCTAAGAAACACTGAAGGTGTTAACTGGAAAAGCATCTCAGTGTGCATGTTTAAGTAGTAAATGGAAAAAAAAAAAAATGTATCAAGACACTGTTTAAGTGTCAAAATTTCCAAAGATAAAGTAAAGACCTTCAAGGCTTAAAGTTGAAAAAATATGTAATAATGAAAATCAATTGAAATCATATTTTCATAGATAAAACTGGCTATTTTGATGTTAAATTCTTCATACATAGTACTGGGTTCTAAAACACAAAGGAATAATGCCTGGATCTCATCCTTAGGTTAAAAACAACAACAAAAAAAAAGTTAAGGGATAAATTGGTTAAACCTAAAATACTATACCCAGCAAAACTGTCATCGGAATAAAAGGCAATATAAAGACTTTTTTTGGAGGATGGTGTAGGGTCATAAAAGCACTAAGAAATTTGATCACTTGCAAATTTTCACTAAAAAATAAGCTATTCAAGTATGTACAAAGTGCTATAATTACCTACAAAAAGTACTGGTGTATGACAAAAATTTATTACCAACATGAATTACAATTCCAGTAACTTGAATGTAGGAAGTGCCAGAGGTTGGGTTGTTGATGTTAGGTGTCATAGATTCAGTAGTGACTCATAATGACCTTATGAACCACAGAACTAAATACTTCCCAGTTGTGCCCCAACCTTAATCTGCTATGTTTGAGCTCATGGCTGCTGCCACTGTGCCAATTCATCTTGCTTGCAGGGGGGACTTCCTCTTTTTCTCTGATCCTCTACTTTATGAAACATTATATCCTTCTCCAGTGAATGGCCCTTCCTGACAACATGTCTGAAGTATGAAAGACAAAGTTTGGCCACCCTGGCTTCCAAGGAGCTTTCTGGCTGCACTTCTTCCAACAGAGATTAGATTGTTCTTTTG